TTCTTACAGAGCACTTATCAGCGCTTACTGAAACTACTACCATGGCTCGTCGGCAAGGCTTACTAGCCTCCTGCTCTTGGGATAAGCAATGTACAGAATCTCTATACACAGCAAGAACCATATGAATCTCTATACACTACAAGATCCATATGTATCCAACATCCTACAGCACGGATATCTAATACAACTCAAGGCCAAGCCTCCGTTAACAGTCAACCCCCCAGGGTTCAACGTTCATCCGGCACAACTACCTATGTTAAGAGAAACAGTACAGTCTCTGCTAAACAAACAGGCCTTAGAAGTTCTGGATCAACGAAACATCGTACCAGGTTTCTACTCCCCAGTTTTCCTAGTGCCGAAGAAAAATTCCAAGGAGAAGTATCGTCTCATTTACAACATGAGCACCTTCAACAGAGAATATCTATGCAAACCACCAACGTTTCGCATGATACATTTACCACAACTTCGGCAATTAATTCGTCCCAAAGATTACATGGCCAGCATAGATTTGCAAGACGCAAATCTACACATTCCGATTCATCCCAGCTCAAGGAAATATCTAAGATTTATCCTAGACGGCAAACATTACCAATGGAAGGTACTTCCCTTCGGAATCACTTCAGCCCCTTGGGTATTCACAAGAGTAACCAAGCCTATTGTCTCATACCTACATCGTCAAGGTCTGCGCGCATTTTACCTAGACGACGGTATACAAGTGGATCCAGATCCACAGCGTCTCAGACTACAGCTGAACTTTATAATCAAGTTACTAACTCAATTAGGTTGGTTAGTAAATCTACTCAAGTCGGACCTAGAACCAACGCAGGATCTGCACTTTCTAGGTATACGATTCCTTACAGCTCAGAATTGTTTAGTAGTCCCGGAGGACAGATGGATCAAGATCCAACAACTGATTCCCCAAGCCCTACTCTCTCCGTTACCACTACGACAGTGGCAGAGCCTATTGGGACTACTCACATCAGCTCAAGACTTGACAGTCAGAGGCAGGCTTCAATTACGTCCATTACAAGTCCTCATCAATGCTCATCTCGAGGACCCTCTACCGTTCAGTCTACCAGATTACGTCAAACCACATCTACTCTGGTGGACCAAGAGATTGAATGTTTGCGCAGGCGTCTCCTTAGTAGAGCCGGCAGGACAGCGTCAGGCCTATGGAGCCATCAAGAGAGCAAATGTCACATAAATCTGCTAGAGATGCAAGCAGTCATAAACGCCATAAGTCACTGGAGCAACCTACTACAGAACGCTCAGTTGATGATTCACACAGACAATTCAACAGTGGCGTTTTATGTGAACAAACAAGGTTCAACAAGATCACTGAATCTACTCACTCGTTGTTTCAGACTGTTCGATTTAGTCGACAATCTAAACATACATGTCAGAGCTTGCCACATTCCAGGAGCAAAGAATGTTTTAGCAGACGCTCTCTCTCGGCCACACCAACCGTCGCCGACAGAATGGATGCTCCACACAGAGATATTCAATCAAATAATCATGGAAATAGGATCTCCACTAATAGACCTATTCGCCACTCGATTCAACAAGCAACTGACAACATTCTTGTCGCCAGTGCCAGACCCACTAGCATGGGCAACGGACGCTCTAAGCATATCGTGGGAGAGACTCAACGCGTACGCTTTCCCGCCTCCAGCGTTGATCCCACAAGCCTTACAGAAAATCAGTCAAACGCAGAGCCTCCATCTGATTTTAGTCGCGCCCTACTGGCCAGCAAGAACTTGGTTTCCAGATCTCATTCAAGTAATGGGAAAACCAATTCTTCAGCTCCCACAACGCGCCAATCTATTGATACATCCGCACACCAAACAAGTGCACGAAACACCAGAAGCATTCCAACTTCACGTATGGATTGTATCAAGGCATGTCTGAATAAGAGAGGTTATTCTGCCAGAGCGGCTAAAGCGGTCACGCTTGCACTACGTTACTCAACTCGTAACTTGTACGATGACAAATGGCACAGTTTTGTCAATTACGCTGCTAAGAAAGGATTTACAGCCAGATATGCTACACATCCTCAAGTGGCAGATTTCTTATGTTATCTACGGCAAACTAAGAATCTAAAAGGCTCAACCTTGTCCACTTATCTTGCAGCCATAAGTTCTGTCATAACTATGCTTAACGGGCGTCAAGTTAACAAAAACACCAGAGTTACTCGCTTTGTTACGGCGTTCCGATTGGAGGATCAGAAACGGAAGTTTCACGCTCCAGCCTGGGATCTAAATATAGTGCTCCAATACCTCACTAGTGAGGCTTATGAACCATTGCTATCTACATCGTTTGAATCACTGACCCACAAAACCTTATTCCTGTTAGCACTAGCTACGGCCGCCAGGATGTCAGAGATTCACGCTTTGGATTACGAGAGAATACGCTTTGATGATATTCATAACATCGCTCATCTGGGACTTCGCTGGGATTTTATAGCGAAAAACCAACTGCCAGGTCAACCAGACAGATTATTTCACGTCCCAGCTCTCTCATCCATACTTGGACCGCATGATACGATGGATCTATGACTATGCCCAGTGAGGGCACTAAAAATATATCTCCAACGATCCAAACAGAGCAGAGGGAAATTCAAGAGATTATTTATCCCTATATCTACAGCTACGCAGACGGAAGTCTCACGCACTCTGATCTCTATCTGGATCAGAACTGTCATACTACGTGCCTACAAGGCTGCAGGACTCGACCCTCCAAGAGCTTCTAATCCTCACGAAATTAGAGCGCTAGCCTCAACTCTCGCTCTACATGGGAATTGCTCGTTGAATACCATAATGGAGGGATGTTTCTGGAGATCCGATATGGTGTTTGCCAACCACTATCTGAGAGATATCACCACCGAGGACGTCTCAGGTATCCACCATTTCGGTCCCATGGTCCTCGCTCAACAGTTGACAGTTCCACGGAGAAGATAAGTCTATCTTACAGATTTTATACTTATCTGATAACAGTACTAATAGCTACATGCTATCTATATATTTTGCTTAAGTTTAATTTATTATCTTAAGCTCAGTACTATGGTTTTTATATCATACTATATATAAGCTTACAACTCCTAGGAGTTTTGCTACTATATATATATGTTCAGCTTAAGTTTCATCAATCCTTAAGCTCAGTCATATGGTCATATGCATAAATGTATTAGTTAACAAACTCTAAGGAGTTGGTTACTATTATACAGCTTAAGTTATAATTATATCTGAAGCACAATACTATACTATTATAGCTTAAATATATGCATATCTTAAGCTTAATACTTTGGTTAATTCATAAAAGTATCCACTATAAACTCACAGAAGTTTATATTATCACATTAATAGCTTCAGCTTACATTAATGTTGTATATACTTCTATCATATTCTATAAATTGTAATAACCTTTATATGGCAGCTGATAAGTTAAACAGCAGGAATTCATCAGTTCAGTGCCTTTATGAAGTTCCCATAGGGTTATTACAATCATCACAGTTCAAATCACTAATTATTAAAATCCAAAGTATATACAGTCAGCTCTCGTTAATCCGACACTCATTAATCCGACAATCACGTTAATCCGACAAAAAAATAGGGAACCATTTAAAACAGTGATAATTACTCTCGTTAATCCGACATTCTCGCATTCCGACTCCGACACACCAATCTAGCAACTGATTATTGTAAATACATTGTAAAAACATTCGTTAATCCGACAATCAACACAGCCGGTCGGATGATCCGACCGTATACAAACAATCACACGTGAGTGGTAATTAGCGTGTGCCTTACTGGCTGCTTGACACCGGCGTCAGTGAACATCACACCATTTAATTAGGAACACAGGATAATTAATTGAGACGATTTAATCAAGAAATAACAGTAGAGCGAGCTGTATAAAATGTTTACAACCGACATGAGTTTTCATCACAAGATGTTTGTCACGAGTACACCAGCTGCTAAGTATGACAATCATGACATTTAGTAAACATTGATATTTTCACACAAATACATTAATCCGACATTTTCATTAATCCGACATTTTCGTTAATCCGACATATTTCTCTGCAACCACAAGTGTCGGATTAACGAGAGTTGACTGTATATTCCCACCTCCTTTTCCGTCGGATTCTACAAGCAATAAGCATGAGTCAGGATAAGGAAAAAAAAAAATTTTAGAGTAAAATTAATATTTTATACTTATCCTGACTCATGAGGTAAGCCTTCCCGTCCTCCCCACTTAACACTTTGGATTTCTTCGGAAAAATAAAGTGTGGGGCTCGAAACTAAAGGAGAGAGTGAGGCACATGGGTTCAGGTGGCGCCCTCGTTCACGCGCTTGTGGAAGGGAGGTAACTCGTGGTGAGTACTAATTAGTGATTTTTTAATTGAAGGGAACTTCAATTGAGAGATACATGTGTTCCACTATGTTCGCAAGAAGAAGAAGACAAGCAATAAGCATGAGTAAGGATAAGTATAAAATATTAATTTTACTCTAAAAATTTCATGCTTTTTGTTATATTCGTCCTTTAAAGCCGCACTCAGATATTTTCCAGCTGTATGGTGGCGGTCTGTAAATAATTGAGCCTGGACCAGACAATCAGTGATCAACATCATGAGCATCGATCTACACAATTGAGAAGATACGATGACACGTGTCAACCAAGGGAATGAGCCTGACCACCCGATCCTGTTAGTCGCTTCTAATGACAAGCATGGGTTGCTGAAGACCAGCTCTAGCCCAGATCTTCACGGGTAGGAACCTATGCTGGTTGTCAGAGGCAACCAACTGGATCTGATGCTCAAGGGACATGGCTGATAACGTGTCCTCCTTCCCTTTCGGCATTGATTGATGATCACAATATCAATCACTGGATTGTCTGATCCAGACTCAATTATTTACAGGCCGTCATCATATTGGTGTGATGTTATTTCAAATATTGTTGAGTGAGGCTGTAAATGAACAAACAAACTGATGTATGTACAGATCACCCTGCCAGTGCGCACGATGAAGCTGATGGGAGTGAAGGTGTTGTTTGTCACCAATGCGGCAGGTGGTATCAACGACAAGTTCAGTGTGGGGGACATTATGATCATCAAGGACCACCTCAACCTGGCTGGATTCGCTGGCATCAATCCTTTGGTTGGGATGAATGATGAAAGGTTAGTTTGAACATCCACTTTGTTTACTTTACTCTACAAACGATGGTTCAAACAGTGTTGTTGACCTACATGAAGGATGAGTGAGTGAGAATGTTTTTACGCTGCTTTTAGCAATATTCCAGCAACATCATGATGGGTAACACCAGAAATGGGCTTCACACATTGGACCTATGTGGGGAATCAAACCTGGGTCTTCATCAGGACGAGCGGACGCTTTAACCACTGGGCTACCCCACTGGCCTCATGTAAGATGAAAGGTGTGGGCGTGATGTCCATATCTAATCCATCCAAATTTGCCAGAGTTGAGATGGCCACAGATCAGGGCCTGACATAGGTCCTGAAGATCTGCAATTTGCAGAACTGAGTTGGATCTCTTTGCATACATCAGAAACTTCTACATGATGATAGGTTTGAATCCCAGTTTATGCTGCCATGTTTCTAGGTTTGTCAACACCATACCCACGGGTTTCACCAAAGTTGGAAACATCTGAAACTTGCATCAAATCTAGTTTTCCTCCCACTCCAAATTGTCGTTCCAAGATATGACTGGAATCAGGGATGAGACTTTTCCGTGGATCTGCGGAATTCCGCAGATTTGATCACACTGGGGTCATTGGATCTGGCTTGGGGACCTACGACCCCCAACACCCCCGGCTCATATTCCTCTTTTTTCACTCTTCGATCGTCACGCTGAAGACCCGGGTTCGATTCCCCACATGGGTACAATGTGTGAAGCCGATTTCTGGTGTTCCCTGCCATGATATTGCTGGAATAAAGTGGCGTAAAACCAAACTACCTCACTCACTTTTTTCACTCATACGCATCCTCATCCCTGTGGAAAACTGTTCAATGTTAAACCATGCTTACTGACTCTTGAAAATAGGGCTGACTATAAGAAATTATGCCTGAAGGTGAAATGTGTGAAATGTCTCCTGTCTGCAGGTTTGGTCCCCGCTTCCCAGCACTCTCGGGAGCGTATGACAAGGAACTTCGGAAGATTGCGAAGCAGACGGCAGCTGAGATGGGCATGACCAAATTCTTCCAGGAAGGCGTCTACAGCATGATGGTAGGACCGTCCTTTGAGACTGTCACAGAGTGCAAGTTCCTCCACCTCATTGGTGTTGATGCTACAGGTAACAGCATTTATGCACCACTTATTTTCTCACCTGCCTGACAGTACATATTGTCCTCAAATTGTCTCACCTGCTTGACAGTATATATTGTCCTCAAATTGTCCCATCAACTTGACAGTACATATTGTCCTCAAATTGTCTCACCTGCCTGACAGTATGTATTGTCCTCATATTGTCTCACCTGCCTGACAGTATGTATTGTCCTCATATTGTCTCACCTGCCTGACAGTATGTATTGTCCTCATATTGTCCCACCTGCCTGACAGTATGTATTGTCCTCAAATTGTCTCACCTGCCTGACAGTATGTATTGTCCTCATATTGTCTCACCTGCCTGACAGTACATATTGTCCTCAAATTGTCCCACATGCTTGACAGTTTATATTGTCCTCAAATTGTCCCATCAACTTGACAGTACATATTGTCCTCAAATTGTCCCACATGCTTGACAGTACATATTGTCCTCAAATTGTCCCATCAACTTGACAGTATTTGTTGTCCTCATATTGTCTCACCTGCTTGACAGTATATATTGTCCTCACATTGTTCACCTGCATGACAGTATGTATTGTCCTCAAACTGGCCCATCAATTTGACAGTACATATTGTCCTCAAATTGTCCCACATGCTTGACAGTATATGTTGTCTTCAAATTGTCCCATCAACTTGACAGTATTTGTTGTCCTCAAATTGTCCCATCAACTTGACAGTATATGTTGTCCTCAAATTGTCCCACATGCTTGACAGTATATGTTGTCCTCAAATTGTCCCATCAACTTGACAGTACATATTGTCCTCAAATTGTCCCATCAACTTGACAGTATTTGTTGTCCTCATATTGTCTCACCTGCTTGACAGTATATATTGTCCTCAAATTGTCCCACATGCTTGACAGTACATATTGTCCTCAAATTGTCCCATTAACTTGACAGTATATGTTGTCCTCAAATTGTCCCACATGTTTGACAGTATATATTGTCCTCAAATTGTCCCATTAACTTGACAGTACATATTGTCCTCAAATTGTCCTATCAACTTGACAGTATATGTTGTCCTCAAATTGTCCCATCAACTTGACAGTATATGTTATCCTCATATTGTCTCACCTGCTTGACACTATGTATTGTCCTCAAATTGTCCCATCAATTTGACAGTACATATTGTCCTCAAATTGTCCCACATGCTTGACAGTATATATTGTCCTCAAATTGTCCCATTAACTTGATAGTATATATTGTCCTCAAATTGTCCCACATGCTTGACAGTATGTATTGTCCTCAAATTGTCCCATCAATTTGACAGTACATATTGTCCTCAAATTGTCCCACATGCTTGACAGTACATATTGTCCTCAAATTGTCCAACATGCTTGACAGTATATATTGTCCTCAACTGTTCCCATTAACATGACAGTACATATTGTCCTCAAATTGTCCCACCTGCTTGACAATATGTATTGTCCTCAAATTGTCCCATCAACTTGACAGTATATATTGTCCTCAAATTGTCACACATGCTAGACAGTATGTATTGTCCGCAAATTGTCACACATGCTTGACAGTATGTATTGTCCTCAAATTGTCCCACATGCTAGACAGTATGTATTGTCCTCAAATTGTCACACATGCTTGACAGTATGTATTGTCCTCAAATTGTCCCACATCTTTGACAGTACATATTGTCCTCAAATTGTCCCACCTGCTTGACAATATGTATTGTCCTCAAATTGTCCAACATGCTTGACAGTATATATTGTCCTCACATTGCTTCACCTGCACACATGACAGTATATACCTGACTATGTATATTTTCCCCATATTGTCCCACCCGTCAAAAAGTCATATTGTCCACATATTATCCCATCTAGCTGACAGATATTTTCCCCATATTGTCCCATCTGACAGTCATATGATATTGTCCCAGCCTTCTGACAGATATTGTCCTCACACTGTCCCACCTGCATGACAGTATTGAGTACTATGGTACTAACATCACCCATCTTCATCCACAGGTATGAGCACCATCCCCGAGGTGACCGTAGCCCGTCACTGCGACATGAGGGTGTTTGGTCTCTCCCTCATCACCAACAAGTGCGTCATGGAGTTTGAGTCTCAGAGTTTTGCCAACCACGAGGAAGTCCTGGCAACGGGGGAAATGAGGAGCAAAGATCTCAAGAGATTTGTGGAAGAAATGGTCTCCAAGATAGATGTATAGCAAGACCTGACATACCATTGATTATACATACACCTCTCAGCCTGTTTTAGACATTGTACCTGTTATATTACTAAACACTGTAGTAGATTTTATCCAAATCATGGGTTATGTCCTCAAAAATAGTTCCATGTTTTTGTTTAGGTGGATCGGTCTAAATATGAATTTACAGTTCCAGTTTCATTATCATTGAAGCTAAAGTAACAAAATAATTAAATGTTTCATGTAAATACATAAGTACATAGTACTTAAATATGTATTAATAGTTCAGAAAAGTTTAGTAATTATAGGTATTATAGGAATTACAGTCAAATGGTACTTTTGTAAACTATTGTACAATTTTTGGTAAACATGTGAAGGGTTACACTTATATCATTATTATATCAATATTAAGGTCATTGGAGCCACAAAGATATTTATACCTTTCATCCTGGTCCGTGTAACTTATTTTCAATTTCAAGTCAGACTGTTTCATTCCCACAATTTGGACCTTTTCACGGAACTCCATTTTCCGACTTTTGTTTTCATGAAATAGTCCAGTAATTGATAGTTGGTTTACTGCCATATATAGTGTAACAGAAGCTAACTGGCAATTAGGTAGGTAATATGTTATGAGAGCGAGGGTTGTCATTATGTGGTGATGAATCTGTGTTACAGTTTTATTCTCATTGCAATGTACCATATCTGTACTGTCATTGTACCAAAGGGAGAAAACATCAATATATGTACTTTGAATTAGGAGATAAACCTAGTGTGTTTGAAAATCAGAGACATGTTTTACTGAATTGATGGCGACTAAATTTCAATTGGAACCGAACGCGTAGCAGTGAATTGCAAAATCCATGTATGGATAATTTTTGTTTGTCCATACAGTGTTTAAATTCATAAATATCACTAAAATAATTATTCAGTTACACAGAAAAATTTGTTTTTAGGATTACCAAAGTAAAGATGGACAATAAGGCAACAATTTCAATTTTAGTTTTAGAATTTTAGTTTTCAGTGAATCAGCTTTGTTCATATGTAGCATTAAATTTAGAATTTTTGTGGATATTTAGATACTTTTCATCTATACATGTGCAGAATGATTATATTATTTTTAGTCCTGCGCTATTCTTGAGTCTATATATCAATGTTAAAATTTTCAGTCAATGATCTCTAATGAGTAAAAAGTGTCTGCAGATGTGTTTTTTTAAACATTTTTTATCATTTTCATGAGGAATAGAAATCTCCACATTAGAAACAGGAGATTTATACATTGTACGTATAAGAACTTTACTGTTAACTTGGAAACAGCTGACATATATTTAGTAGATAGGATAAATATTATAAATATACAATTTACAGTTATAATTTTCTATTTCTACACTTTCTGTCCCTAAACTGTAATAAATTCCTACCACCCACTCCGTTCTGTACTGCCAAAGTCTACAATAAGCTAGTCTAGATATTCCTCAGCTTTGCTGGGTTAGTTCTATTAGCATTCTATATTTTCAGAGACTTGATCTTGTCGATATTCTTTCCAGTATAAATTGTTTGTACTTGATCTCACTGTTACGCGTTATTTTGATGCATAGAATTTAAATATGCCATTATGTTCTCAGTTAAATTCATCATGGTTAGAGAGAGTACAAGTTAAGATCTGTTTTATTAAATCTATGTACTTGTGATGTTAGTTTTAGTGATCCTCATTACTCATGCAACCATTATCATTATAGATTTGTAAAACTGACCAATGGCAGGCCTCCTTTCAGTGTGGGATGACACTCTGACCATTGTCTCAACGCCTCGGGTATCCTAGGTTACCTCAAAGAAAGGAAATATGTTGGGACAAAAAGGTCATCATCTTGGTTACCATTTCAGGATGTGCTTATTTTGGGTTTGAATGCAGTATTTGCTTTGTTTGTGATCCTTGGAATATCAGCAACATATAATGGTCATAGCATAACTCAAATTCCAAAGTCACTCACATTTCACTGTTATTTGAATGCCATCTGGAATTAATGATTCTCCTAACAATGCCATAGCAGTAAACCATTTGCAGGTTTAGACAATTAACTGTCTGGGTTAAATATCACAATGCAATAATAGCAACATACTCTGGAACAGTCATCGCGCTGGGGTTGATCTGCAGTATAAAGAAACCTAGCGATAAGATTTGGGCACTGGGAAGGGTCGAAACAGTTTGTCAATGTACATACATAGATCTGCCTGGTCTGCAGGTTAGACGTGCCTGGTCTGCAGATTAGACATGCCTGGTCTGCAGGTTAGACGTGCCTGGTCTGCAGGTTAGACCTACCTGGTCTGAAAATCTAGTTCCTGGTTATAGCATCAGGGATAACTACCACACGTTATTGATGTAAGAAGGGAATAAATGGGCAGTCGTCTCACACACTGCATCCCACTGTGCAGAGTTGCATCCCTTAGTTATGGCAGGATCCAGCAGTCAGATCTTGGTTCTCCCTTGCACATTGTTTCCTGGCTTCACCACCATCATATTTATGGTTTTCACCAAAGTGTTAAAACATCTTACGTCTCCATCAATTCAGACTTTTTTCCCAGATCATATTCTCCCACCATGACACATTCCACAGGAGCTACAAAGGTAATAACATATTCATTATGGAATTTATCGAATTGTCATCATATTTTCAGCAGATATTAAGCTGTTTATTATAATGGTGCGCTTTATGTAGCTCTAACATTGTACCAGATGTACTATGTATGTGAATATAACCAGCATTGAACTCAATACTCAGAATGTTGTACACTGGCTTGTATGGCTGTCAGAGAATTGAACTCGACCTAAACAAGAAAAACATTGTATTTCAGTCTGTATGCTACTTTATACCAAAAGCATTAAACATTAAAGTCCTGAAAATCTACACTGCCTGTTTGAATGAAATATATTGCACCTAGTGTTTCACTAGAATTAAAATAAAATGGTATTTTATTTTATTTCTACAGTGTATAATGCATTGCAGAAATGCACTGATGTCATACAGCTGTTACAATTTTTAAAGTGTGATATAGAAAAGGTTGATTATGATAATTATGTACACATAATTAATATTTGCCCTGTGCAGTAAGCAGCTTGTAAAGTAAGAATTAATTTAATTGTTTCAACAACACTTAAACCTCAATGGTTTTTAATAAAAAGTTATCCTCCTTAAAATTGATAAAAGAATTTTCACATAGCTTTGGTCTTTTTATTAAAAGTTATATTTAGTTTTACATCAAAAATATAATTACCTTAGCAGCTGTCTCCATATTAAGCCTGAATAGAAAATGGACAGTCTACTGTTTTAGTAGATCAGTGTTGAAGAATACACATTCAAAAAGACCTCAAATGGCAACTCAAATTAGGAAAACATTGTATAAATTGATGACATGAAGGTCATCAATACTGATGTGTTTTTAGCTGGGGAACAACGTTGTTATTTGTTCAGGAAAGACCAAAGCATTTTAACACTTGTTTTGAATTGTTATTGAAATTTTCATCATTTTAACATCTTTTTCATAGTATTCTTTTCCACTACTGTATTGGCTGCATGTTTCTTGACAAGGACATAAATCATATGAAACAGTCTTTTCAGAAATATGATTCTGAATTTCTGATTTTAGTTAGTCACTTTGTTCTTCATTCAGTATACTACACAAAAGAACATACCAGGGTACCTTTGTTGTGACAAGTGTTACTCTGTGACGGCTGGTGGGTATTGCTATACAGCCTTCTAAATGTGGCTCTTGCTATACAGCCTTCTAAATGTGGCTCTTGCTATACAGCCTTCTAAATGTGGCTCTTGCTATACAGCCTTCTAAATGTGGCTCTTGCTATACAGCCTTCTAAATGTGGCTCTTGCTATACAGCCTTCTAAATGTGGCTCTTGCTATACAGCCTTCTAAAGGCTTCTAAATGCGGCTCTTGCTATACAGCCTTCTAAATGCGGCTCTTGCTATACAGCCTTCTAAATGCGGCTCTTGCTATACAGCCTTCTAAATGCGGCTCTTGCTATACAGCCTTCTAAATGCTGCTCTTGCTATACAGCCTTCTAAATGCGGCTCTTGCTATACAGCCTTCTAAATGCGGCTCTTGCTATACAGCCTTCTAAATGCGGCTCTTGCTATACAGCCTTCTAAATGTGGCTCTTGCTATACAGCCTTCTAAATGTGGCTCTTCTTTCACTTGTTTTCAGCATTATACGTGTATCTTTTATCTTTTGCTGTCTGAATTCTGAAATACTGGCAAAGACATATAATTTGGACATTCCAGCCAGCTACAAAGTTATGTAAGACATGGATATTACAGAAGTGTATGACTTGGTTCAATTTCATACTAGTCATGGAAGACGTGAATAATTATTTTGTTTCCACCATTGCTTGAATCAGCTATTTCAAACCGTTAATACTGACCTTTGTCAAACATGCTGTTCATGTTAAAGAGAAACATTTCAAAATGCTTGTTTTTTTTTCTTTGCCTGGTGGATGTGTTTGAATGACTTCTTCTGTGGGATTAATCTGTAGAACGCCTTAATCGTCATCATCAAATCCAGACTGTCTCATACATTTATGTATTTATTGTCAACTGGTTCCCTGTACAGATGTATTGGTGTTTAGTGATTAAATGTTTAAACAAGGAATTGGCTTGAATTGTGTCTTTGTTAATGGTCTTAAAGCCCCATCGTCATATGAGCGAAATATTCTCAAGCACGACGTAAAACCCAATTTCACCTCATCTCACCTTAAAGCCCCAACGACGTGACATTTACCTTAGCGAGAGTTGTCTGTGTGTCCTTACGCTCTGATGACATGACATTTACTGGAGCACGAGTTGTTTGTGTGTCTACATATACCTCGTGATAATGACACGGTAACCTAGTGATCATGACAAATGAGACACAGCGTTACATCGTGATAATGACACATGGTCACATGCCACGGGCAACTCCATTTCTCAAGAAACAAAACAGTATTTGCAACACCAAGAATAATCTTCGCATTTCTTTATTGCAAATATATACCAACATAATCTTATTACCCCAACAGTACATATACATGTTGATGTAGGTTACAAAAATATATCCACCTCATAACAAAAATACATTCACTGAAACATGAATAGGCCATAACAACCAAGTATTACCAAGTACTTGCTCCAGTATTCATCCACCAGCCTAAGGGAACTCCAAGTCATAATGTACATCTGGTGAAAAGCAGAAAACAAGAACACATGATGATCTTGTAACACATCATGTTAAAACAAACCTCAATAAATAAATAACAACTGATTCAGTTCGCGCTGATTGGACATCCAAGTAATATATTTCGGCCACAAGCACCAACGGACAAGTGTTTACAGATTGTCTGACAAGGACTGACTGACTGAGTTTGGTTTGACGCCGCTTTTAGCAATATTCCAGCAACATCACGGCGGGGGACACCAGAAATGGGCTTCACACATCGTACCCATGTGGGGATTCGAACCCGGGTCTTCGGCGTGACGAGCCAACACTTTAACCATTAGGCTACCCCACCGCCCCGTCTGACAAGGAGCAGGAACTGTATTGCATAATTGTATTGAACAATGTCACTGAGCGTGTATTGATGCCCACATTGTTTGTATCAACCATTAGATATCCACTCCAATACATAAACATTGCTGATGTGTTTTTCTTCAAGAATTGACTTAATCATGTTTTGTGTTATAACACAAAGAACAATGCAAGCCCACTGCGTCCATAAACCTTCGGAACTCATTTGTCACCTTCTTTCTCTTGTAGCCAATTTGCCAAGACCTTTCGCAAACAACCACATTAAAGCACAGAACAGACAGATTGCCTGCACCCACACGTTGGACACAGCAGCATTCCTCAATGGTCCACTGGTGATCTCTATAGGAATGTTCATCCACACGTACAACAGGGACAATACAGCACTGAGGCACACACACAGCACCATGTGTAACGCGTTCCCGTCAGTCCTGCGATTTGATTGGTTACTGAGGATATGTCTGATGAGCTGTTGGCTGAGTGGCCTGGTTTGAATACGAGGAAGAGGCTTCTGATTGGTCTTCAGTTTCTTCTCCTGCCGGGCTCGTTTGATGTAGATGTCACTATAGTACTCACTCAGTTGTAAGTGCAGGTCTGGAAATGAGAAAGTCAGCGAATGAAATTAACATATTCAGTCATATCAGATGTTGGCTATTTTAAGAGGAAAGCAAGTTTACACCACATGCTTAAAAACATGGTGAAAGCCATGAGCACAGTTTTAGGCTAACAAACCAAGGCTTATAATCAACATGATCAAGGGGCTCCTTTCACGAAGCAACTCACATTCTTTAATGTTGCACTAAGGTTACCTGAGTGACTTACGATCACCTTAGTGCTTTGTGAAAGGAGGCCCTGGTGTTTTGGTATTAGAACCCACAATCAGTGGATCCTGTCATGGCCATGTGACATAACTCTGCACACTGACTTGCAGTTCTTGGGTTCTTTCACCATCCGTTACCACTTGAATGATGGAACAGTTGGGTACAAGTTTGAGGAATTTTTTAATTTTACAGAAAAACATTCATAGTGCTATGACAGTTAACACTGTCAATAGATGTTGTGTTCAGGCTGTTGCAATCACTTTATCAGCTCACTACACAATCGTATCAAATGGGGGCGGTGGGGTAGTCTAGTGGTTAAAGCGTTGGGTTCGAATCCCCACATGGGTACAATGAGTGAAGCCCATTTCTGGTGTCCCCCGCTGTGATATTGCTGGAATATTGCTAAAAGCGGCGTAAAACCAAACTCAGTCAGTCAGTCGTATCAAATGGCACAAATCTACTGAGATACCTCTACACTTGTGGCCCCTTTAAGAGCAATTTTAGAATTGATCTTCAGCAACCCATGCTTGTCATGTGAATTGACTAATGGTATTCTTCGTTCAGATTCACTGACTTGATTTATTGCATATGATTGCGTATCATTGTTTGCATGGATCGATGCTCTTGATTTAAATCACTGGATTGTCTGATCCAGGCTGAACAAGGCATATAGGCGTGAATATTGCTGGGTGTTGTGTTACTCAGTAAAGAGAAATTACAAATGTTGAGTGAGTGAATTTAGTTTTACTCCGCTTTTTATATTATTTCAGCAATATCACTGCGGAGTACACCAGAATTGGCTTCACTCATTGTACCCATGTGGTGAATCGAACTCGGGACTTCGGGATGACAAACAAACACTTTAACCACTTGGCTACCTCACTACCCCTACAAAAGCGGAAGGGCCTGTTACTCACCAACATCCATGACACAGGCCCGGATGTCCTGCCGACACAGAGGACACACAGCGTTGTCAGCCAGAGCGGAGGACGGCAGTTTGCGGAGGCACGGCTCACAGAACATATGCTGGCAAGGATGCACTACGTGGGGCTTGTGGTATAGATCCAGGCACACTGGGCATGTGAAGTCTGGGTGGAACGTATCCGCCTTGTTGGCAAGCAGTTCCTGAAAGATGCTTGTAACTTAGACACAGATCACGTACACAGATCACATTATACACGTCATAAAGATACAAAACCCCCTCCTTACTACCAAGACATGTATCAGATCTCAACCTTACTATCAAGATATCCATATCAAATCCACACCTTGCTATCAAGATATTTATCATATTCACACCTTACTATCAAGATATCTATCATATAACCATGACAACCTGCCTATCAAGATATGAAGCAGATCTCCACCTCACTTACAAGATATGCATCCTGTCAATGTATACCGTCCCTATGACCAATGGTCATATCACTGCCAGCATGAGCTAACCTGAAAGGACGCAGCATATCTGCGGGCACGGGCTGCACGTGATGTAGTGCTTCTGGACAACAGCTTCTCAAGCTTGGCCTTCTCCTTCTTCCTCTTCTTGGCTCGGGCTGATACTGCGTTCTGACGAACATTTACAACAGATGGCACGTCTTGTGAGGAGAAACGCTGATCTGAAATAGACAAACACTTGGGTGATAATAAGCAATATAAGTCATCAGGTTTAGAGGATTTAATAGTGAGTGAGTGAGTGAACGCCACACCCAGCAATATTCCAGCTATATGGCAGTGGTCAGTAAATAATCAAGTCTGGAGCAGACAATCCAGTGATCAACATCATGAGCATCGATCTACGCATTTGGGATACGATGGCATGTGTCAACCAAGTCAGCGAGCCAGACTACCTGATCCCGTTAGTCGTCTGTTACGACAAGCATGGGTTACTGAAGATCAATTCTAACCTGGATCTTCACAGGTATTATGCAAAAGGAATATATCTAAGACAGGAAGGAAAACATTAGTCTCGTATATCTATTTTGACTATACGAGATCAGCAGTCATTGACACTGTCGACATGGTTAACACAGGTCAAAGATATATTTTGATTCTGTTTCACTCTAGACAAGAAAATACATCTACTGCGGAGTAGTTATGGTAGTTGTTACCCAGTATTCATATTCATTACCCAGTATTCGTGATATGCATCATATTCACCTCATATGGGATTTGTTGCAGCCCTAGTACATAATGTATGTGAGGGAGGTTTTCCTCACTAATATAATTTGGACATGGTTTTACTGAACAAGATAAGGTGTCAGTTCACTCTGTAACCATGACAACACACATATATGTGTTTAATATGTGTGTGAACCCGACATGGCCAGACAAACAAGTGAGAGTGAGTGAGTGAGTTTTAGTTTTATGCCTCACTCACACAGGTGATGGATGTCTGGCAACAATCAAATGTATTCAATACCAGAAAGCCTTTGAGACCATGTTAGTGCCAAATTGTAACACAGTGTACACAGCATCATGTTGCCATCCAATAACTTACTGCTCTTCGTTATTCATAGAATTGAGAAACCCAGATGTTCCATCTATTATATTAGGCCTGTCATAATTCAACCATGATTCTAGTGAGTATATATTTTATGTTCAGGCTTTATGTATTTCTACATTTTTAGTGACTTTTTTAGACAATTTTTTACGAGCAAAAGGGTGGTAAATATGATATGGAACATTTCAGATACTCTGTCCATTCTTTATTCTTTATGAGATGTATATACAAAATCTCATCAGAATGTATTTGGCAATTTGCCATCAAATAATATAGCAATATTCACATGAGTTCATTAAAGACAATTGTAGGAAAGCTCTAAGGCTTGTATATTTGACATAAAAATACACCAAGACTTTACTTAATATCCAGGGCCCCATTTCACAAAGCGATCATGGCACCAAGATGATCGTAACTCCCATACTTTAACATAGACTTACGACGGTCGTAGCGCTGTGAAACGGGCCCCAGCATTCTTTCAGATTAGTTGGACTAGAATTGTTTTTCATTTGAAAAATCAAGTTAATCTTGAATATTATGTTTAAATGAGCATTTAAAACCCTGATACTTTTAATTTGACTGACACATTTGCAACTTTATAACTAACCTTGCTACCTTGTAATAAATGTACTTCAATTTACTTTGTAAACACTGTTTCATACCAATATTTTCTGTGACGAACTGGTCCAAATGTTCCTCCTCTGCAAACATGTTAAATGTATCAGAAAGATCAAAATGTGGCTGTCTGTCTCCACACACAACAGGAACATAACCCAGGTCTCCAGGTGGAGCTGCAGGAGCCCCAACAGGCACCCCGACACAATCTGTCTCATTGCTGACGGACTCTGTTGATGTTGCATCTTCTCCACCACCTGCACAGTCATCACCATCAGCATCACAAGTGAAAGGTTTCACGCTACATTCAGTATTGCAAATCTCCAACCCATCTTCACATATCTGATCTGCTACACACTCATCATCAGTCATTAAAACACAATCTGAATCAAGTGAAGAGACCATCAGAATCTGTTTCCCAGTGTTAAATGAATGTTCATGGGATTCACCCACTACACTAGTCTTTTCTTCAGCAACTGCACTCTTGTCCTGGCCTTGCTGGTCAGACCAAGCTCCAACAACACCAGATACAGCAGGAACACCTTCAGAATGTGTGTCTGTTGGACATCCTCCTGCAGGTTGCTGAGGAATAAGACATTGTTGTACATCTTTACAGTATTCAACATCTTCGTTGACGGGTGTAACCTCCTCACTATTTTCTGTTTGACCATGGTTACCAGTGCTACCAAATCCACAACAGACAGGTGGAACAAATGCAGTCTCAGTAACCTTATTTTCTCCGGTTGGTTCAGGAAAGTCAGTGATGTCTTCCTTGGCTTTCGCTCCAACACCTTCCTTCAAAACACATACTCCTGGAACAGTTTCATCATTCTTGTTCTGACTGAACACTTTCTCATTACAGCCAACTTGTACTTTACTGGCAGGTTCCACTTCTGCTATGTGGATGTGATTTGCACCATAAAGCTCGTCACTTTCTCTGACCGTAACTTTGTCTGATTCAGCATGTTCGGTGCAGTCAATATCAAGAATATCACTGCCTTCCTTTTTCTGAGATAACATGTCCTCCATAACTCCTTCAGTAGCTTCTACAGCTTCTCTGATATCTTCCTCCTTCTGACTAGACATGTCTGTGACACCTCCTTCAGAAGCTTCTACAGCTTCTCTGATATCTTCCTTCTGACTAGACATGTCTGTGACACCTCCTTCAGTAGCTTCTACAGCTTCTCTGATATCTTCCTCCTTCTGACTAGACACATCTGTGACATCTCCTTCAGTAGCTTCTACAGCTTCCCTGATATCTTCCTCCTTCTGACTAGACACGTCTGTGACATCTCCTTCAGAAGCTTCTACAGCTTCCCTGATATCTTCCTCCTTCTGACTAGACACGTCTGTGAAACCTCCTTCAGTAGCTTCTACAGCTTCCCTGATATCTTCCTTCTGACTAGACATGTCTGTGACACCTCCTTCAGTAGCTTCTGCAGCTTCTCTGATATGTTCCTTCTGACTGAACACATCTGTTACATTTCTTTCAGAGTCTTCTAGATGTCTTATTGCTTGTACTTGACCTGAACAGAACTCATCACCAATACTGGTCACAATCTCCATTCCCTGACCCCAAGCACTACCATCATCAGCCTCCTCTTCCTTCTGCATCACACTGCAGTTGGGTAGAAGAGGACCACATGGTCCTGTGTCTGGTTTATGAGTTCCTAAAGAAGCCTGATCACCACAATCACAACTTCTAAGAGAGTCACCATGCTTCATGAACTCCAGCACATCCCTAGCAACCAAATCTGCTTGACCAGACACAGAATTCTGTATGATATTGTCACCATGTTTATCCAATGTCTCTTCTCCCACTGGTGTCTCACACAGAGGAAGAACATCCATGTCAACACAGCCTGCCATAGTCACATTCATTTCAGAACCCAGTTCATCCCCTGTGTTGTCATGACAACAACTGTTGTGATACGGTCCTGTGGTGGTTGAGCATCTACTCTAAACAAGACAACCTTTCTGACTGTCATCATTTTCTGTTATCCAATCTAACGTATCATCTTTCTTCAACACATCTTTCCCTGTCTGCGGCACACTTTCATTCCTTAGAAAATCATCACAGTTTGTAGTTCTTGTAGCTGAAGTCAAGTGGTTGTCTGTTTATTCTTGAAATTGTTGTAAACCATCCAGTTCCATCAAGGACTTGCTGTCTTCCCTGGAACTTCCTTCTCCTTCCAAATCAGAAATGCGTCACTGTCTTTTTCATGTAGTTCTGACCTTGTGATTTCAGATATGTTTGTCCAAACACTCAATTTACTCAAAGCAGTAGATCCAGAATTGACAGGAAATTCTGCTTTTGACAATGAGAGATGATAAGATGATGGCCTCTCCCTGATGCAGAAGATACCTTCTTCTCATCTTCACTGTAAGAAGCTGCCCATCAGATGACATCTATCAGTAACAGAAACTCTCAGCTCTCTTGGGGTAAATGCCTCATATTTGGATATAGACCTGAAATTAATTCATGAATTTTCATCTTCTTCAACGACTGAGCTTAGTTACACGAACAGACGATGTCAACATCATGGACAAACATTCATCTCCGTGCTCAGCAGTCATTCAGATCTCATCGTGAAAATACTTCATCGCATCAGACAGTATTCTTGTATCCTGGTTTTTTGTTTTCTGCAAAGAAAACAAACAAACATTGATTACTAGTGCACGATGATAATTGTTATCATGTATACAATTATGCTGATAATGTACTGAACGTATGAGCAGCTGTGGGTGTGGTTTTGGTTTAACAGTACAGTACTGAACAGTACTTCAAGTAAATATAGAGAGTGTATCACTAGGTGAGACATATGAGATGTTATTGTTCCATTCACAGTGTGATTATACAGAATCCTTGCAGCAATAAGCATGATAAGCAGGGTGTATATTCAATTATTCATATCAATTATGTTCTTAAAATATTCAAAAAAGTATATTTTGAGAGGCAAAACTGACCCATATACAGTCCAGGTTAGTGTCATAAGTTATTCTTTCAAGTTGGGATGTTTCCTGTCTAAAAATGCAACTTACGTTAGCAATAGCATCTTAGACTTTTATTGTAAACATACACTAACAAAGGTACATTGTCACTGTCAGTGACTTACAGAGATAGTTCTTTACAAACATTACTCCAACAATCATATTGACTACATCTACCAGTTGTAACCAATCTACAAAAGATGTCAACTTCGTTAACATTGTCCCACAGATTTTCCTATTACCATATTCATTTATATATCAAGACTGTATAGGACCACATTACATCTCACAGCTATGTACAATCTAAATATTTAAAAACTGTTAGAAATGCCACACTTGCACTTTTAACTATCAATAATACAGCAACAATATGTAAACTGTGAAATTACAGCTAAACATGTATTTAATTTAAATAACTGCTGTAGTTTCGGTTTCCCTGCTAAAGTTTCATTGTTTATTTAATGACATTACTAAATTTTTTCGTAAATGATGAAATTATTGTCGGTGTTCTCGCTGCCACAAGACAATAGGAGGACAGACAGACACTGTCGACACATCTCCCATCTGTTTCAGTCTTGTTTTTCATTCGTCGAATGTTTCGAACAGCTGACCAAGTGACAGCTCAGGATAATGGTTGCGAGAGAAAACGAAAATGAGTAATATATTTAGTAATTATAACAGAATTACGTACCTTGTTTGGTATATAATTATGTATTAGTTTCAAATATCTCACAGCCATTAGAGCTTAACATATGTTGTTTTATACAGTACATCTCTTGCAAGCGCTTGTGCCATCGTAATAAGGGAGGCTACTCTCCTTACGAGTGCCGACAGACTGGTTTGCCGGCGGTAGAGCGCTTGCGAAGGGGAGGTACCGGTCTAAAGTGCTGACAGTTTAGAGTTATCTTGCCATAATCAAAGAGGCCTCGTGTGGGTTGATTTATCTGATTATTTCTCATTACAACCAGCTTTAACTGAATTAAAGACAAAGACGGACAGAGGTTTTAGGATAAACAATTCAGAATGGTATTCCACCACTATTCGTATTCACATAGTATTAGCAGGGAGACTATATAACGTTGTAGATTTTCCCTGGTAGTAGTAAGCAACATTCCGCGTATTTAAACGGTAACTGTACCATATTTTACTCTGGTCAAAACCAACACAAAGCTGAAACTGAAATTTGGTAACAATTCCCTTGCAATCTGAGAAGAATACACAGAAAAATGAATATCAACAAGTATAGCTCAAGAAAGTCCCTATGCTATGGTAATGTTACGATGGCGTTGCTATGTAAATGGACGATGATGGTTCGAGAACGGAGAGGTCTAGCGTTGCCATCCATGGAGGACTGGCAAGGGTTGTTATCAAAATATCAAAAACTGGCGGTATCCAGTAATTCATGTTTATAACTCTGACCATTGATTGCCCCCAGTACTGTAATGAGATCTAACTTGATGTCATTGGAAATGCAACAAAAAAAACAAACCCACACAATCCCACCCCACCCCCACCATCACTGAGCCACTACTAGAAGGTTCAGTTGCAGGGATCATCTCGTGGTGACATGAAGGATTTTAACAATATTCCAACTAAACTGACGGCGGAAAAAAACCAGACACTGCACACTGTACACATGTGGGATATCTAACAGAAGACTATGGCGCCACGTGTCATGAAGAATCAGTGCTTCTGAATGTATCGACGGATTGAAATAATTTCAAACCAGGTGGAGGTGTGAATTCAGGAAACATATACAATTTCAACTGAAGATACCTGGTTTGTAGTCCTGAAATTATCTCGATATTTAGGAATTAGGTGTTGAATATACGGTGGCCCGGAGGTCACATCCTACTGACACTGAAGATGTTATTACAATAAATAACGCGCATGTGAAGCGGGTGTGTCAGAACAGACAGTAGTGCCCGTAGCTACACAATGTAACCTGAATGAATTATGTTCATGAAACAGGCGACATATCATGTTCTGTCATTAAAATGTACTTATTTCAAGTAAAACAGTTTATGTGTCTTGCTCAGGGAAACATGTCTTCAGTAATTCGAAAAAAAACCCAACACTCTCTGTAGTATTTAGCAGCTGGGCACTAGTGTATGACCCTTATGTATTGTTAGATTTAGTGGTATGCGTGTCTTTATTCAATCCAGTTACCTCCCGTGGTGCTATGACGTCACAATTACGTGATGTAACAATGACGTGACGTCATGACAATCACTCCGACATCTACTCGGTAATGTCAACACGCTTGATTTTTGCTCTGACTTTTTGCGACTTTTACTGTGAATCAAGTGTTGAAAATGACTTATTGTGGCCGCGACTGGCTCCGAGGGGCAAGAACAGCTCCAGGTTAGTTTTAGCTTACAGTAAGTAAGATAAATTTATTTCAGGATTGAAATCAATTTCATTCAATGTCTCCTTTCTGGAGAAAACGTCAATGGTGATGATAAATTAAAATAGGTCACGTGAGTGGTGATGTAGATATCTATTTGATGTCTGATGGAGAGGAGTTTAGACTGAAGTGAAACACATTTCAATAAAGTCAAAACATTCAGGCCAAATAATAAACAGTCTGTATTATTAGCTAAAATAGATTTCATAATGGTAAATGCAACAATGTGACAAAGCTTATAGACAAACTAAAACATTGGTCGACATTGAGCCTTCTTCGCACCCGGCTACCATCTGCAGTCTTCCTCTTTCTCTTCTTGGTGGGGTTGTGTTGAGGAGGGGTGTGGTTGATGTCACCATCCATATCCTGCAATTACATTTGTTTGAAGTAAGATAAATTTATTTCAGGATTGAAATCAATTTCATTCAATGTCTCCTTTCTGGAGAAAACGTCAATGGTGATGATAAATTAAAATAGGTCACGTGAGTGGTGATGTAGATATCTATTTGATGTCTGATGGAGAGGAGTTTAGACTGAAGTGAAACACATTTCAATAAAGTCAAAACATTCAGGCCAAATAATAAACAGTCTGTATCATTAGCTAAAATAGATTTCATAATGGTAAATGCAACAATGTGACAAAGCTTATAGACAAACTAAAACATTGGTCGACATTGAGCCTTCTTCGCACCCGGCTACCATCTGCAGTCTTCCTCTTTCTCTTCTTGGTGGGGTTGTGTTGAGGAGGGGTGTGGTTGATGTCACCATCCATATCCTGCAATTACATTTGTTAGAAAGTTAAAATAATAACACGCTTCCTTCCACCAGAAAGTGTGTATCGTCAAACAGGTAATCTAGTGATTATCAGCAAGTGGAATGTTGTAGCAATCACATTTTGCAAGAACCTTTTGGCAAAACAAATATTTATGTTTGGTTAAACAACTATATTTCACAGTATAAACAGAAAAGAGAATATATATGATGAATATCATTATGAAATTATTAGTGTCATCGAATTTCTAATTTTCAATTGGCATGAAGATAAGTGACATAAATAATGCTTTTCGACGTTTAGGTGAACTAATACGAATACCTGTGTGTGCATAACCTTGCATCATGTGAATATATATATATATATATACAAGAAACAACATATAACGTACGTCTCGTGCCGTGCTGATGACATCACGATCGGTGAAATCCCTGACGTCGATCGACTTCAACTTCGGGGGCTGGCAATCGGGTTTGTTGACGCATGGTACCATCCATCCGCATGAGCACAAACTTGAACACAGTTTCCCGGCGGCGCGACACGGACATGTTCCTCTCTTCGATACACGAGTACAAGTGTTTTTGCATCTGCATACGATATCCTGTGAACTAGCCATGTTGATTGTCGTCCGTGTTTGTGGTCTGGGTAGATAAGGGTGCAACGAACCAATCAGCGTTCAGAAAACAGAAAGGGGATTTCCCCGTCGCGACGGCTCGAATGACAAGTCTGCCAAGGTGGTCAGCTGCCCAGTCCCGGTGTTTGTCACGGTCTAGAGAGCAAGCACTGCCCGCGCGGCAGCCGAACACGACAATTAACACGTTAGCTCGGAGCAAAAATCACTTCGCATCAGTGCCCCTTTAAAGAAGCGTTTCGTTTTTCAAGCTGAGAAGGATAATTGAAGACTGTAGACTTATTTCATCTTCCAGATCTGAAGCATCTGTTTACCAGTGAACTTCTGGAGGAGTTTGACTGTATCCGTCTTTGGCTCCATCTGCTCCGGACTGCCATCCTCCACGAACATGAGGTACGTTCTGTGGCCTGTATGCAAGGAATGTTGTAGCACGGTATTCCCCTCCAAATAAAACTGTATTGTAGTGGAACGAGATTCCCTTTCAAAATATTGAGTTGCATGTTTCATTTGCAGTTAAAGGGGCCTAAAGCTTTAAACAAATTTGCCAAGTAACATATTTTCCAATTTTCATGTCTTTGTTAAGATAAAATGACATCTAAAACATTTTGCTGTAAAGATGTGTGGAATATGAATGTATGTCGTTTTTCTAACAGGTGACTGAGACCAAGAGAGGCAAGCGAAATCTGTGGCTGTTACAGAGAGAGGTTGGCCGTGGCTGGACCCAGATGTCTGAGCTTTTCGTCAGCAATGATCACCACCCCAGCGTGCGCAACTCACTCATCGATATCCACAACGCCGTCACCACGGCCGCCGCTCACTACAGGCTTTCGCGACTTCTCCCACCACCCATCTTCGTCCAAGGAGAACTGGTCCCCCCGGCTCTGCCCCCAAAAGCCGGGAAGCTCAGGCGTTTCTTCACCAGTGTCCGTACAAGACTGGCAACTGTTGTCTCCAAACACAAAGTGAAACCCACAAACGTTCCTGTTGTCAAATGCCGTGTAAAAGACACTTCTGGACACAAGTCCGTCTTTGTTCGTGTTGTGCAATGTGTCAGGAACATCACAGGAAGCAAGAACCAGATTCTCCCTGTGTGAAAGAATACACATGTATTGTAAAACCTATTTTGATGTCCGTTTATTGAATGTGATTTGTTTGAACTTGTACATATTATCTGACGCTATACATCTTTGTAAATCACGAAACTGTAATTCATTCACTCTAAAAGAATATACAAATCCTGTTTTGCTTGTAATGTGCTATTTCTCAAAAGCATTGCCATTTCACCATTCCTTTAACCTATGTCTCTTGCTGCCAGTTTGGTAATGCAGACATTAAATGGAATGAATGAAACGTGAACTTGTTTGTTTTCTGTTTCCCTTGGCATGTACAGAGTTAGACAGTGGTCTGTTGAGATGCCGACAACATTTAAAGCGTGTCTGGTTCAGAGTTTCGGGTCTTATCTGCATGCACAGGATCAAGTATATATATGTACCTATGTGTGTTACTCAGACAGTTGATGGTGTAGTAGCAGTTGCTCGTAAAAGAGGGAAGATAGGCTAATGATGGGACAGTGGTATATATAGTTAGCATATGTAGTAAATACTTTGTCTGTGATGGCGCTTTGGGCTAAGACATGTAGCATAAAGTGATAGGTGCTTCATTCTAACGGACACTGTTACACAACTGTCAGTTCCGTCTATGTCACATGAAGGAAGCAGTGAATGGGATCATCATGGAATTTACGCTGATTTTAGCAATATTCCAACTAAACTGACGGCGGAAATAAAACCAGAAACTGCACACTGTACACATGTGGGATATCTATAAGAGAAGACGGACTGTCTGATCCAGGCTTGATTATTTACTGACCGCCGCCATGTACCTGGAAAACTGAGTGCAGCGTAAAACTGAACTCACTCCTACCTAAAGAAGGGGAAATAAGCTATTGATGGTGGCATATATAGCAAGTACCTCAATGTCTTTAGACACTGTAAAGGAAACCTGTCAATTCCGTCTATGTTACATGAGAGAAACAGTATAGAATTTACGCCTTTTAGCAATATTCCAGAGGAAACGGCTGTGGGAAATTAACAGAGATCCACACACTGAAGGAATAAGGGATATTGATGTGGGCATGTAGGTTTCTAACATTCCGTGACGGTAGGGTATCCTCTTAGGGAAGCCCCTTTTTGGTGTCCCCTGTCGTGATCTTGCTGGAATATTGCTAAAAGCGGCCTAAAGCTCGCGCCGAAGTGTGAACTGAAAAAAGTTTGAGAACCTCAGGACAAAAAAAAAATCAATTTTAAGTGTACTTTGAACCATGACACACACTCAAACATGTGTGAATGACATTAAAGCATCCACTTCGAAGATGAAGTTCGGATTCGGATGTATGTGGTTGTGCTCCACTGTCTGAAGTCTATCTCCACTTATCACGATCCGGGCAGAACGCCCAGCCTCTGTGCACTTCAAGTGACCCGTGTCCGCCTTCTGTCGGTAGGGGCGGTGGGGTAGCCTAGTCGTTAAAGCGTTCGCTTGTCACACCGAAGAGCCCGGTTCGATTCCCCACACGGGTACATTGTGTGAAGCCCATTTCTGGTGTCCCCCGTCGTGATAATGCTGAAATATTGCTAAAATCGGGGTACAACTAAACTCATTCACACACCCTTCTGTCGGGTGAGGGGACATTTGTTTCTAGCAAAATAAAGTGACCTTCCTCCACTTATTGATTGGCTTATGCTGGACCCATCTTAGAATATGCTCCTGAGGTCTGGGACAATTGTGCCGCAGATATTTGTGATAAACTTGAAATGGTTCAGCTTGAAGCAGCAAAAATTGTAACCGGTCTGCCAAAATTTGCTTCAAGAGCTAGTTTGTATAGTGAAACTGGTTAATTACCTTTAAAAGTTAGACGTACACATAAGAAACTTTGTACATTTTACAAAATTGTTAACATGCAAGCTCCTGATTATCTTATAGACTTACTTCCATTATCTACTGAAACTATTTCTCAATACAATTTGCGTAACTAGTTTTATTTCGCTAAGTTTCGAACCACAGTTCTCCATAAGTCATTTACCTGTGATTGTGCTTTTTTATGGAATAACCTTTTCCCCACAGTAAAATGTACCAATTCATTACCATCGTTTAAATTTAAATTATCTGAAAAATTAGATAAAGTTCCTAAATATTTCCTTTTTTGTGAAAGGAAGATTAATATTCTACACACTAAGTTAAGACATTCATGTAGTTTTCTGATCTTTTCCGTGTCAATATATCTGAAAGTAACGCTTGCCTCTGTGGTGCTCTGGTGGAAGATGCCAATCATTTCTTTTCAAAATTTCCAAAGTATGGCAGCTGCCGGTTTGAATTAATACAAGGCTTTGAAATCCCAAAAGTTAGTCTTGATATTAACACCATTCTGTAGGACAGCCTTAGTCTGCAACAAACTATAAATGACAATATTTTTAGTCAAGTCCATAAATTCATTGTACTTAGTAAGGTTTTCAATTAATGTGTAATATGTCTTGCCTCTGTTCAGTGTCCATTACATGTATGTTTTAGATGTAATTGTCGGGAGAGGGCTTTAATAAGTTGAATAATTTCAGCCCAGTCCCTTTCAATACTGAATAAAATCTGTACAAACAAACTGATTCAATGAAGTTAACTCTAACCTGCGCATCTCCCATCACAAATATGTGTATGTAGGTTCGGTGTCAGTTTGCAACTTAAATAGACGCTCTTCTGTTTTTTTAATTAAATACATCTTCTCACGCACTAAATAAAGTTCTAAACAAGCGATGTTTTTTTAAAAAGATTATCCTGATATAAACCCGGATACATTGAAGACAAATAACCTTAAAATAATCTGTACACACTACTAAATACAGTTCATGATTGGTGTTTGGTATTATCGGTCAGTAATTAGTGTGTGAAAAAACAGTTCCCCTTCAGCATATAGTGGATCCCACTCAGTGGTTTATTGTGTTAATATGTAGTGAGTGAGTGAGTTTAGTTTCACGCCGCACTCAGCAATATTCCAGCTATATGGCGGCGGTCTGTAAATAATCGAGTCTGGACCAGACAATCCAGTGATCAACAGCATGATCATCGATCTGCACAATTGGAAACAGATGTCAACCAAGCCAGAGAGCCTGACCACTCGATCCCGTTCGTCGCCTCTTACGACAAGCATGGGTTACTGAAGGCTCATTCTAACCCGGACCTTCACAGGCGGGTTAATATGTAACACTCCTCACACTACAAGCACGTATGTCATCAGTGCATGGACTCCCAAGAAAAAGCTGCGAAACTCCAAGGGTAAGACACAACCAGTTCAAATCTGGACTGGGTACAATGTATGATGCCCATTTTTTGTGTTCCACGCATTGATATTGCTGGAATATATACCACTAATCTCACTCACTCACTCAAATCTGGACAAACAAACGAATATGAAGTACATGCGTAGTGTGTTTTTTATTTATTGAAATCATAATTATTTGCATACAACTAAACATGACTGTACATCTTTGTACAAAAATGGCAAACTCAAAACAAAATGGCTGAACCTGTGTCAATCAATATCAGGAGAGGCAGGTGGTCCAGGTCGTGGACCTAAAGGTTCAGAGCAACACCATGGGTTGGTTAGTTGGTTGTTTAAGGCTGCACTCAGCAATATTCCAGCTATATGGCGATGGTCTGTAAAAATTGAGTCTGGACCAGACAATCCAGTGATCAACAGCATGAGCATTGATCTACACAATTGGAAACAGATGTCAACCAAGCCAGAGAGCCTGACCACTCAATCCCCGTTCGTCGCCTCTTACGACAAGCATGGGTTACTGAAGGCTCATTCTAACCCGGACCTTCACAGGCGGGTTAATATGTAACACTCCTCACACTACAAGCACGTATGTCATCAGTGCATGGACTCCCAAGAAAAAAGCTGCGAAACTCCAAGGGTAAGACACAACCAGTTCAAATCTGGACTGGGTACAATGTATGATGCCCATTTTTGTGTTCCACGCATTGATATTGCTGGAATATATACCACTAATCTCACTCACTCACTCAAATCTGGACAAACAAACGAATATGAAGTACATGCGTAGTGTGTTTTTTATTTATTGAAATCATAATTATTTGCATACAACTAAACATGACTGTACATCTTTGTACAAAAATGGCAAACTCAAAACAAAATGGCTGAACCTGTGTCAATCAATATCAGGAGAGGCAGGTGGTCCAGGTCGTGGACCTAAAGGTTCAGAGCAACACCATGGGTTGGTTAGTTGGTTGTTTAAGGCTGCACTCAGCAATATTCCAGCTATATGGCGATGGTCTGTAAAAATTGAGTCTGGACCAGACAATCCAGTGATCAACAGCATGAGCATTGATCTACACAATTTGGAACCGATGACATGTGTCAACCAAGTCAGGGAGCCTGACCACCCAACCCCCGTTGTTAAGTGTTTCTTATGACAAACATGGTTGCTAAAGACCAATTCTACCCCGGACCTTCACGGGTTGGATTCCCATGGGATCCCCATACCCAATGCTTTGTATTTATTGAAACACTGGTGTGATCCATGTCTGACAGTCACGTGATGTAAACATGACCCTCCACCCATGATGCTGAATGCATGAATATCACTGCATGTCTGGGAAACTCATCACAGTTGGTTACATCACACAAGGCACCAGGCTAACTTAAATATTAACTATCAAACATATTTACAAAAATATACATTGTCTTGAGATAGATACATCAAGAAAAACTCAAACTGAGAGATTGGGTGAACATGACCTGACAAAACTCTGTTGCTTAGTAAATACTATCTATACATGTTCATTATGATCAATAATGTGGTACAATGTAGTGCAACTTATTTCTGTGCCTCTAACTACCAAAAACAAGTAACAAGCACTCTTGTTTGATGCCATCCTATTGGGTAAAATACAAATCTAAAACATTACTTTGCAACATAAAAACCCAGACTCTTCCATACCTCGAACTACATGAATAGCTACAAACACTTCCTCGTTATTCAGAAACACATGCCCACTGCAGTAAATCTAGGCCTCTAATCTGGCTTGTTACCTCTTACTGAAGACTAATTCGAACCTGGATCTTAACTAGGGTTGGAAACCTGTCTACCAAAAATGTCAATTGAGGCACTTGATATAAAGAGCAGCTTTGGTGTATGACCCACACAGCACTTTTGGTCCATCAAAGCTATTGTACAGTTCTGTATTCAGGGAAGACTGTCAGCCAAAGGAAGAAGTCCTTACAATCCCGACACCT